GTAGGAGACACCCAGGAGCTCTTAGACAAGGGCTGTCATTGTGGCACTGTGAGTCCCAGGTTGCTGCCAGAGTAAGGGTGTGCGTGTGTGTGCGTGTGTGTGTGTGCGCACGCACATATGCATGCACATGCCCTCCCCATCCTCCAGAAATATAGAACACAATTGCATGTATGCTAGCCTCTCTCTGTGAGCTGTCTTGTTCTGTCCTCAATCTCACTGAGAAATTGAAGCAGCTTAATAGGGAGGGCCTGGTGATGCTGCTGAAATGTGGAATTGTGAAGGGCAGGGGACCCGTGAATGCTGCCCCAGCCTCCTAGCCCCTAGGAGCTAGATGAGCATCAGGGCGATAGGAAGCCCTGAAATCATATGCAGACCTATCAAGCACTTACATATCTTCTTTAAAAAACATTTAGGGTGCCTGGGTGGCTCAGTTGGTTAAGCGACTGCCTTCGGCTCAGGTCATGATCCTGGAGTCCCGGGATCGAGTCCCGCATCGGGCTCTCTGCTCGGCGGGGAGTCTGCTTCTCCCTCTGACCCTCCTCCCTCTCATGCTCTCTGTCTCTCATTGTCTCTCTCGCAAATAAATAAAATCTTAAAAAAAAAATTAAAAAAAATAAAAATAAAAATAAAAAACATTTAATTTGGGGGCACCTGGGTGGCTCAGTCTGCCTTCGGCTCAGGTCATGGTCCTGGGGTCCTGGGATTGAGCTCTGCATCGGGCTCCCTGCTCTGCGGGAAGCCTGCTTCTCCCTCTCCCGCTCCCCCCTGCTTGTGTTCCCTCTCTCGCTGTGTCTCTGTCAAATAAATAAAATCTTTAAAAAATAAATAAATAGGGCGCCTGGGTGGCTCAGTTGGTTAAGCGACTGCCTTCAGCTCAGGTCATGATCCCAGGGTCCTGGGATCGAGTCCCATGTCGGGCTCCCGGCTCAGCGGGGAGCCTGCTTCTCCCTCTGACCCTCTCCTCTCTCATGCTGTTTCTCTCTCGCTCGCTCTCTAATAAATAAATAAATAAAATCTTAAAAAAATAAAAAATAAATAAATAACATTTAATTTTGAGATAATTTTAGATTCCACTATAGAAGTAGTTGCAAAAATAGTAGCGACCCTGTGTACCTTTCACCCAGTTCCACCAGTGCTAACATCTCTCTTAACTTTAGTATAATATCTAAACCAGGAATTGACATTGGTACAATCCAGGCCTTATTCAGGTGCCATGACCTTTACATGCATTTGTGTGTGCGCATGACATTGCTGAGCTGCGTGAGCGGTCCTAGGCCATCATCTTTTGGAATTCTTGTTGTGCGCAAAAAGTATACCCATATTTGTTTAAGTCATTGTTAGTAGCATTTTGTTACTTGCAGCTATAATATTCCTAATATACCTCCAGTTGCAAGTGTGGGAAACCTGTTGCAAACTTGCTCAATTTAAAGAAAAGAAAAAAAAAGGAAGGGGGGAATATTGGTTCATGTAATAAAATCCAGAGGAATGACTAAACTGGCCTCCAGAGGCTCAGAATGTCGTCAGAAAACTTGCTCCATGGGGCGCCTGGGTGGCTCAGTTGGTTAAGCACCTGACTCTTGGTTTCGGCTCAGGTCATGATCTCTTGGTGTTGGGCTCCATGCTCAGCGGGGAGTCTGCTTGAGATTCTTTCCCCCTCCGTCTTCCCCCTCCCTGCTCCTCCCCCTGCTTGTGCACACGTGCACGTGCTCTCTCTCAAATAAAATCTTTAAAAAAAAAGAAAGAAAAAGAAAGAAAGGAACTTGTTCCATTTCTCTGCAATGTCCATGGCTCTGCACACTTTTGAGTTCTGGCTTTATTCTCAGGGCACCTTCCCTCAAGATCAAGAGAAGCTGTAGCAGTCCTACACCTTGGATCCTCACTGCAGGTCGCACGGAAGTGAGGGACTCCGGGGCTTTCATCACTCCCTACAGCAGTTGTAAGGCTCATTCTAATTGGACCAGCCTGGGTCAGGTGCCCCTCTCTCAACCAATCACGGGCCAAGGGAATGACATTCAGTGATTGGCCTGTGCCTGGACTCCTAACCCCTCCTTGAACACCTGGAGATAGGGATATTTTATTGGTTTAATCTAAGCTTAAACTGGAGATGAGGTGATCCTACCCTGACCACATGGGAGAAGGGAGGTGTCTGAAAAGAAATTTGAGGTGCTACTAAGAGTGGGAGGGGACATAGAGGCTGGACAGCAAACTGCCCGGGTCTACTACCTCCAGCGTAGGGTGTCCCTCTCTGGTCCAATCAGCTATGACTGGGAGGACAGAATCATATAGTACAGGCATGTCTACCCGGATGGGGGTGCAGTTCTGACATAAAGGAGTTGACAGCTGGACCACAATAGTGGTTCCTGCCTCCGAGACACTGTTCTGCAGGTCTCCATGTGCCTCAGGCCTTTAAGCTGGTTGTGACATCTCTAGGCATCCCCACTGGCCAGGGGCCCGGCGGGCCACCTAAGAGATGCTATGGTTGAGACAGGGTCTTGCGTTTCAGCTGCATATGCTAGGCAGTGCTTAGGATGTATTTAGATAGGAAATCCCACCTCCACGCGCCACCCCATCCACACTGCGTTCACTGGCTGCCCATTGTGTCCTCAGGCTGTCCAGTACAGACCTCACTTTCCTGCTGTACTCTTCCCTACCCCCACCATGAAGTCCACCCAGTCCAAATGGGCACAGAGGTCTTCAGAGAGAGACTTTCCTGTGGCAAGGTGGCTTCTATTCTCTCTCAATAGCCAGGCTTTTGGAAAAGCTCAAGATTTCCTGAAGTGTGCTATTTGTACCATGGTGTTAAGTGACATGTGCATCAATTTTTTTAACATTCCTTTTTATTTATTATTTTTTTAAAGATTTATTTATTTGGGAGAGAGAGCAGGAGGGAGGGGCAGAGGGAGAGGGAGAGAGAGTCTTAAGCAGACTCTGTGCTCAGTGCGAGCCTGTTGCTTTATTCCATCTCATGATCCTGAGATCACGACCCCAGCCAAAACCAAGCCAGGTCGCTTAACTGCACCACCCAGGCACCCCAACATTCCTTTTTAAATCTTTTTACTTAAAAAATCTTTTTACTTAAAACTCTTTTGAAATAGAGATATAGAAATATGCAAAACAAAGGTAGAGCTTAATGAAGTATTATAAGGCAAGCACCCTAAATGCTCTTGTAACACAAGAGGTGGAACGTCGCAGCCACCCCAGCAGCTCCTCCACGTTCCTGGGCCTAATCACAGTCATGTCCCCCCCGACCCCCGCCGCCAAGAGTAACCACTGCCTGGTTTTTATAGTAACCACTTCCTTGTGTTTCTTTAGAGTTTCAGCATCCAAGTGTGCATCTCTAGAAACTATGGTTCAGTCTTGCCCACTTTTTTTTTTTTTTTTAAGATTTATTTATTTGAGAGAGCAAGCGAGCGCATGAGCACATGGGAGAGGCAGGGGGAGAGGGAGACAGAATCTCAAGCAGAGTCCTCGCTGAGTGTGGAGCCTGACACAGGGCTTGATCTCATGACCCTAAGCCAAACCAAGACTTGGATGTTTAACTGACTGTGCCAACCAGGCACCCCAGTCTTGCCCACTTTTAAAAATACATCTTTACCTCTCTTTAATCTTCAGAATCTCCTCTTATCCCTCTCCTTTCCTTTCATTTTATCTGTTGAAGAATCCAAGCCCTTGGACTGTAGCATTTCCCACTGTCTGGGGTTTGTTTGCTGCCCACTCCTGGGACAGTTCCATATGCTCTGCTGCCCTTTGTATTTGCTGCTCATTGTCCACTGGATCTAGAAGCTTGATGAGACTCGGTATCTGTCTTTTTGGCAAGACTCTAGGTGGTGATGTGTTCCTTCATCAGGGGCCACATAATGTCAGGCTGCCACTCCCTTTGTGGTGTTTCTAGCTACGGATGCTCAGTTCCTAGATTCATTAATTCACTGGGGATCCAAGATGGTGACATATATTGTTTTCATTGTGCTATGATTCACATTTTATTGCTTATTAATTTTGTGATTCCACACAATTTATAAGTAAATAGGCTTTGAGAAAATGTCTTGAGAGTGTTAAACAGATGATGGCATTGTTGATGAGACTGTTCAGTGTTCCACATGAGGTAATGAAAAGAACCACAGCTGCCACCACTACCAAATGATGATATTTTAATTCCATCATTTCTTTTTCATTTATTTGCTGGATTTCTTTATAAACAGATGCTTCCTCTCATCTACCATGAGGTTACCCAGTGGTATAGCTCATGTAGAAGAGGCAGGATAAATGCTTCCTTTATTCCCTATATTTATCAGTTTGCAGAATAATAAGCTCCTTCCTTATTATCCTCTGCAGGTGACCAAGTTCATTTTTTCAGTATCATCATGAACTCACAGATTTAAATAAATTTGATGAGTTTCAATTTGTTGCAATTATTACAATGTTCAAAGCTCAAATTGCCCTATCTTTGGTCAGTGGGAACCCCTGTGGGTTGGCTTCTGGGTTCTTTTGACATTACCCTAGTCTACATATAGCCTATCCATGATGGCTTGCATGCCTCCATTTATGTCAGGATGGTCCAGACGCCTTTTGTACATTTTCTCCTCCTGCTGTCAGTCATTTCTCCGTACAGCCCTGACTTTTAGTGGGAAATGGCCTTTTGTGACCACAATGTGGACTCCAGGGATGCTCACTGCTATGAATTGGTCCTTGTTTCCAGGCGTTTTGAATGGACAGAGCTCTTAGGTGTAGATAGAATGATAGATTAAATACCTCACAAGTTCATACTGTTTTTCCAATTATATTTCAGGACTATGGATTTTTTATTTAATCTTTTAAAAAATTACAGCTGTCTCTTCTTTCTTCCACACTGAGCATCCTGATTTTAGGACACAGGGGATGATAGTTAAAATAGCTCATAATTACTCATTTGTTTTAGGCAACATTACACACACAGCAGGGAATATCAGTACTAATGCTGCTACCAGCAGAATGATAACTGAGAAGAGTTTAAAAGTTCTTGTGCTCGCTCCAGCAGGGCACAGAATAAAACTGGAATGATACTGAGGAGATTAGCATGGCCTCTACACAAGGATGACACACAAATTCATGAAGTGTTCCATATTAAAAAAAAAAAAAGTTTGTACCCCAATGTTTATAGCTGTTCTGTAGCTACATCAATAGAGCTTATACTCTTCATATACCATATTCTCTGCCTTTTAAGCCTCATATAGTTTTGGTTCTACCAGTAACTATGTATTTAATGCTGTCTGCTAGTTCTTATGCTGATGTAGCTAGTAATTTTGGCAGTCTGAGTCTTGTTCTCTAGTAAATTCTTCAGGAAGTGCTCATGGGAACAGTATTCCCTGAGTTCTTGTACACTGATAACAGTGTGTACCTTTTACACTTGAAAGTCAGTTTTCTTGAATATAAATTCCTTGGCTCACACTTCTGCCTTAGATAGCTCACACCATTTTTTTTTTGGATACAAAGAAGTGCTGTTGAAAAATCTGATGATAATCTAATTTTCTTTCCCTTGTAAGTCATTTGTTCTTCTTCACTTCGATTATTAAAGGATTCCCCCTCCCTTAATATCCAGTCAATTTACTAAAATATGTCTTGGTGTTGCTCATTCTGAGTCAGTTTTCTCAAGCATATTGTATTCTTTTTTAACATACATGCACCAGTTACTCATCTATTGATTCTTGGCTTCCAAAACCATCTTCACTGTCTGCTCTGCAATAATGGAGCTGCACCCCATAGCTATTTCTCCTTTGAGAGTTAAACTTTGTCAGTAGAGCGTGCTGTCGGGGACTAGAGGAGGAAGGGGTTTCTCTTCTTGACTCTAGCGTGCCTCATGCATAAGCCTATGCAGTGCCTGCCTTGCATGGAGCTCTCAGCTCCAGCAGAGCCTGGTGGTCTGCAGCACAGGGCAGTACCCATGGAAAACTTCCCTTGGCATTCCCTTGGGTGGTTTCAGCTTCAGCAAACTTCTCCACCATCCAGTGAGTCACAGCTGTGTCACCTTCCAAGGTCTTGGCATCAGTTCTGAGGAAGGGAGGACCTTTTCTTGGTACCTCTGTCTCAGACCTGGGTGTAGAGATTTTGCCCTTTATCTGCTACTTCTGCATTCTTTAAAGTTCCTTTTAGTCTTTACTGGCCATTCCCTCCATTATTCCTACCTCCTGTTATGGTTAGTAATCCCTGATATGAAACTTTCCTGTTCAAATTCCTTTGTGGTTTCTTTCTCCTACATGGATCCTGACTAATGCAACGTAGTATCAAATCACTGCCCTCCTGCACCCCCCCCCCCTTTTTCTAATTTCAGGGAAATTTCCTTGAATTTTAGTTTCTAGTATTTGTTCTGTTCCCTTGTTATGAGTTTCAGTTTCAGGCACTCCTTTGACTATTTCCTATATTTGTCATTTTCTTTTGAACTCCTTTATGTGTACTTCTCACATTTTATTTCTCATGAACATCATCTGATTTGCTCTTGTATTTTTTCTAATTTAGTCTTCATACCTGAAATTATTGTTTCTTTATTTCTAAATTTGTCCTAAGTGCTATTGTCTCACTTCTGAGTTTTTCTAATTATGATTTTTGTAATTTCTTTTTTCTTGACTTGGAGTAATTGGTATAGTTTCACTTATTGTCTGTACGGATGTTATTCTGCTTCTTATTCTCTTTTTGTATTTTTCTTACACTTTGGGTGGGATTTTTAATTTTTTTCTTTATGTTAAATTAGTTCTCTGAACTTTTGGAATGGGGTGGGTTGAGGAAGATTTCCTAACTTCTATAATTTTAATATAGTGTTTTTTGAAAAGAATTATTAGGGGGGTCCTGGGTGATGCAGTTGGTTAAGCACCTGACTCGGTTTTGGCTCAGGTCGTAACCTCCGTGTCATGAGAATGAGCCCCATGTCAGGCTCCATGTTTAGTGTGGAGCCTGCTTAAGACTTCCTCTACCTCTGTCCCTCCCCGCTGCCCTCTCTCTCTCTCTCTCAAATAAATAAATAAATCTTTAAAAAAAGAGAATTATTAGAACTGATAACAAGTTCAACAAGGTTGCAGGATACAGGATTAATATACAAAAACCAGTTGTATTTCTGTACACTTGCAATGCACAATCTGAAAATAAAATTTAAAAAAATTCATTTACAATAACACCAAAAGGAATGAAATGAATAACTTTGACAACAGAAGTGTAAAACTTATACTCTTTTTAAAAAGATGTATTTATCTTGGAAGGGGCAGAGGGAAAGGGAGAGAGAATCCCAAGGTGAGTCTGCAATGAAGTGCAGAGCCCCATGTGGGGCTTGATCCCACAACCCCAAGACCATGACCTGAGCTGAAACCAAGAGTTGGACACTCAACCGGCTCTGCCACCCCAATGCCCCAGAAGTATAAAACTTACACTCTTAAAACTACAGAATATTGTTGAATTTTAAAATTCCAAATAAATGGAAAGACATCCTATGTTCATGGATAGAAAGACTTAACATTCTTAAAATGGTAATATTCCCTCAATTGATCTGCAGACTCAATGCAATTTCTGTCAGAATTCCAGCTGACAGAATTCCAGTTCTTTGCAGAAATTGACAAACTGATCCTAAAATTCATATGGAAACTCAAGAGGCCTAGAACACCAAAAATATCTTGAAACAGAAGAAATTTGGAGGACTTTACAATTTCAAAATTTAATTAAAAAAAACAAAAACAAAAACAGTGATTAAGACAATGTGGTAGTGGCATAAAGATAGGCATATAGATCAATGGAATAGAATTCAGAGTCCATAAATAAACCTCAGATTTGCAGTCGACTGATTTTTGACAAGGGTGCCAAGACAATCCATGGGGGAAAGAATAGCTTGGTTGTGTGTGTGTGTGTGTGTGTTTCAGTTTGTTTGTTTTGCAGATCTCATTGGCTTTATTAAGTGATTCATGAATCACACAGCATCCCATCTGGTAAGTAGAAGGGCACTACCAGAATAGGGTTTTTAACAAATGATACTTATGAGACAACTGGATATCCACATGCAAAAAAATTGAAGTTGTATATCTACCTCACACTAGATACAAAATTAACCCCAAATGAATCCTAGACCTAAATATAAGAGCTAAAACTATAAAATTCTTATAAAAAATAGAGATAAATCTTTGTCACCTCGGACACTCAGACAAAAAATAGGTAAATTGGACTTCATCAAAATTAAAAGTTTTGTGCTAAAGACACCAACAAGAAAGTTAAAAGACAACCTACTGAACAGGAGAAAAGATTTATAAATTATGTATCTGATAAGGGACTAGTATCTAGACTATATAGAGAACTCTTATAACTGAATAACAAAAAGACATATAACTTAACTGTGGTATAGTAAGAAAGATACTTGGTCCTTGTTCTCAATTCCTGGCACAGAGCTCCTAAAACTCTTGGAATTTCCTGAGTGATAAGGGTGATAGGAGTGTCTTTTTTTTTTTTTTTAAGATTTTATTTATTTATTTGACAGAGAGAGAGACAGCGAGAGAGGGAACACAAGCAGGGGGAGTGGGAGAGGGAGAAGCAGGCTTCCCGCTGAGCAGAGAGCCCGATGCGGGGCTCGATCCCAGGACTCTGGGATCATGGCCTGAGCCAAAGGCATACCCTTAACGATTGAGCCACCCAGGCGCCCCAGGAGTGTCTTTTTTTCTAATGAGTTGACTCTTTGTCCACCTCGAGGTAGCTTCAGGACAGGGGCTGGTTCCCAGAAAGACCAAGCCTTGATTAATAGCTTGGAACGTTCAACTCCACCCCCCAACCTCCAGGGAGGGGAGAGGGGCTGGAGATTGAGATAATCACCAATGGCACAGTCATGCCTACATAATAAAACCTCCACAAGAACCCCTAAATGACAGGGTTCAAGAGCTTCTGAGTAGGTGAACACATCCACATGTCAGGAGGATGGCACAGCCCAACTCCATGAGGACAGAGGCTCCTGTGCTCAGGACTCGTTGGGATTTTTCTGAGCTTTATGAGGTATCCTAGCAAATTATTGAACCTAGGGTGGGTGGGAACCCCTGACTTTTCACCAAGTTGGACAGAGGTGTAGGTAACCTGGATGCAATACTTGTAGCTGGCTTCTAAAGTGGGGGCAGTCTTGTGGTCCTGAGCTCTTAAACCTGTGGAGTCTGATGCTAACTCTAGGTAGTATTAGAGTACGATTGAATTATTGGACATCCAGTTGGTGTTGCAGAGTTGGAGAAGTGAGGTTGGAAAAGATACCATGTATCTGGTGTCAGGAGGGAAAAATACCTCTCACCAATTAAAAAATGGGTAAAAGGGGGCACCTGGGTGGCTCAGTCGTTAAGTGTCTGCCTTCGGCTCAGGTCGTGATCCCAGGGTCCTGGGATCGAGCCCCACATCGGGCTCCCTGCTCCACGGGAAGCCTGCTTCTCCCTCTCCTACTCCCCCTGCTTGTGTTTGCTCTCTCGCTCTGTCTCTCTCTGTCAAATAAATAAACAAAATCTTTAAAAAAAAAATGGGTAAAAGATCTAAATAGACATTTTTCAAAGAAGATATACAGAGGCCAATACACATGAAAAGATGCTCAACAGCATTTATCAGAGAAATGCTGAGAAATCAAAACCACAATGAGATACCACTCCACACCCACTAAAATTGCTATAATCAAAAAGACAGATAATAACAAATGTTGGTAAGAATGTGGAGAAATTGGAGCCCTCATACACTGTGGGTGGTAATGTAAAATGGTGCAGCCACTTTGGAAAATGGCCTGGTAGTTCCTCAAGAAGTTCCACATAGAGTTACCATTTGACCCAGCAATTTCACTCCTAGGTATATACCAAGAGATGGAAACCTATGTCCATACAGAAACCTAACACAGATGTTAGCCATTCTTTCTGTTGGGTATTGTGGTGCTCAGGCATGGGTCAGGCTGAGTCCTGACCGGGGGTATTCTTACCAGTTTTTTTTTTTTTAATTTTAAAAATTTATTTATTTGAGAGAGAGAGAGCATGAGCTGGGGGGAGGAGCAGAGGGAGAGAGACAAGCAGACTCCGCACTGAGCTTGGAGTCTGACATGGGGCTCGATCGCATGACCCTGAGATCATGACCTGAGCTGAAACCAAGAGGC